TCTGTTCAGCCTTGGGAAGAGACAACTGGGAGGGGACCTCATAAATGTCTATAAGTATCTGAAGGAGGGAGGATACCGAGAGGATGGAGGCAGGCTCTTCTCAGTGGTGTCAAGCAATAGGGTAAGAGGCAACAGGCAGAAACTGATTCACAGGAAGTTTCACTTGGATATATGGAAGAACTTCACCGTGCAGGTGACCATGCACTGGAACAGACTGCCCAGAGAGGTTGTGGAGTCTCCCTTGCTGGAGATATTCAAGCACCATCTGGACACAGATGTGTGCTGTGTGCTCTGGAATGATCATCCTTGAGCAGAGAGGTTGGACCAGGTGACCCACTGTGGTCCCTTCCAACCCGACCCATTCTGTGATTTTGTGATTCTTTTGGCAGTGATTAAAAATGGGTATGGCCAGAGGAGTTGTGAGATTACACTAACCAGAGTGAAAGGTCAGCAAACACCACAAGCCATCAGTCTCACTGCGGGAGCTGACACAGCCCCATAGTGGGGGCACCTGGGCCACCTTCCATGTGGTGTTACTGCTGACAGAATTCCTCAATTCACATGAGAACAGCCACTGGCTTTGGCTTCATCCCACATAATAAATCTTACCTCCTGAGAGGAGTTACCCACTTCTCTCTAGCGCTTTCTGGAATGCGAGGGAAATGAAGAAAGGCTCTGGATGCTGCTTGAGGTGACCTGTGCCAAGGAACACATCCCCATCTCAAGATGCATCCTGTTTACAGTGGTGTTATAAGGAATGTTGTGGGGGGGTTTTTGCCTCTTACAATGCAAGTTTCTGTTACGTTGAGCACCTGCGTAATTTGAATCCCTTTCAGGACTGCTCATCAACAGGGGAATTTGTTTCAGTCAGAAGCAGGGCCGATTCATTCCCACAGCCTCAAGCATAATCCCCGGCCTATTGGACACATTAACACTGTGGCAGCGTGCCACCTGCTCCATTTATTCACTTGGGACTCAATGCTGCTTAGTCCCTGTCGAATGAGCTCTTTGTGCCACCTCCTGCGGCAATGTAAAAGGTCCCCCACAGGAATTTGTGCTATTCAGTGGGAGCTACAAAAGGGAGGGTTGTAAACACTCCGATTAGTGTTGGAGCCCAGCGATATTGTCTGCAGCACCTATTACATAACCTCGCAACTTCCAGGCTCCCTCCTCTCCAGAAGAAACAGTGTAACAGCAAGGGCCCACCAGGCTATTTAACTTAACATCACAGCTCATGTGTTTCTTTTTTTGTTACATATAAAGGCCACCTTGCTCCTGGCAGGAGAAGAGAGAAGGGTCAGTTCTGTAACATCCCGTAGTAATTGGAGATGGTTGCCCATGAGGATCTCCACTTGAAGCGACAGTGGCCAGAGGCTCTCAGCTCTGAAGAATGTGTATTATTAGAGGCCACTGCCAACAAAAGTTCATGCACAATGGGCTCATCAGCTAATGAACCCAGAATGAATTTTCTCCCAGATTTTGAGGACAAACAAGGGATTGTGTGCAGTGCTGACTGTACCAATTTACTGCCATGTGAAACAGATTTGGATGATTTCTGACTTGCAAAATTCACTGTGGTCTGGGGCCAACTTACACAGACTGAGGCACTTTCTTACACCCTCAGCTTGCCCCACATTCACTCAGTAAACTCTTACTGCTTTAAAGACAAGATGAAGCAAGGATTCTGAGGTGGCAAGCTCTCTGCTTGGAAAATCGGTCTCACTGATGTACCTGAGCTTCACAAAGTAATAAAATAATAATGGAGGGGAGCTTCAGAAAGGGAAAGAAATGGGAAAAGGCATAGTGGTGTTAATGGATAATTCCGTCCTACTACTTCAAGAAAGCCAGTTCTGGAGTTGAGTTTGTCTTGGACAGATGGGAGTCTACATGGGCTGTATCATTCTGGGGTAGCTTCAGATATGCTGTGTAATTCTCCTTAGTAATAAAGGAATACACAGCAAACATAAAAAGACTTAACTTAGGAAAGAAACTAGTTGGCCACATACTGAAACAAACAAGTGAAACAATGAGAGCCTGAAGATACAACAGGAAAACATGGAAGTAGTAAATTAGTTAATGCCTTTGGGGGAGGAAGTAAGTTGTTCATAGAAATTACCACAGAGCAGGAGAACAGAGCCAATAAAGGTCTATGATGCTCAACTCTGCCTAAGCAACTCCTGTGAGCAGTATTAGGGAGCCACAGAATCACAGAATGCTTTGGGATGGAAGGGCCCTTAAAGACCATCTGTTTCCAACCCCTCTGCCCTGGGCAGGAATAGCTTCCACTAGAACAGATTGCTCAAAGGCAAATAACTCCAAGTTCTCTGCAGTAGGAAGAAAATTTATAAATACTTAAGCAATAAGAAGGGTACAAGAAAACTTGAGCCTTGGCCACCTTTACATCCTATATGTACTTGTCTGAATCAGGTTTGCTCTGTTTCTAGGAAGATTTTGTATCTAAGTGTGTTTTCCCAGGTGAGTAGCCCAAATTTTAATGATGTACTGGTGATTTGGTGAAAGATCTCGTGCCAAGGGAATGTGTGAAATCTTGGTAAAGGTGTTCCTTTTGCCAAGCCCAACAGACATTACCATCCAACAGGAAAATGTTAGCTTGTTGTTTGGCTCTGCAGGAATCCCATCAGCACGGTCTGGCCTCTCTTCTCATTAAACTCCTCCCAGGCTGAGTCTCCAGGCTTTGCACATGAAGGTGGAAGTGCCAGCCGTGGGACAGGGCACCGTGGGTCACGGGGCTGGAGAGACCGCAGCGTGTCCGTGTGGGGTGGGTCTGTGTGTCACTGTGCAAGGGCCAGCAAACCTCACCTCACTCCAGCCAGCAGCACGAGGGGCTTGGGAGCCAGCTATCAGAACAGCCATCATTTTGGGAGGGACACTGGAGTGACCATAGATATATTATTTAAGATACAACAGGTGTTCTTACATTTATTTTTTTTGGAATTAGATGTGAAAGCCATTAAGCATAATAAAAGTAATTCAGGAACCTTAAGAAATGACAGGAAAGCAATGTCACATTATGACCTTTGTACTCAAGTGTCTGTAAGGAAAAACAAACTTAAAAAACCTGAGCAAAAACCCAAACCCCAAAGCAATTAAACAAAAACTTTTTACTTTTAAAGAAAGAATAACAAAAGGCCCTCCACCCCTTTTCAGTCAGACCCCCAACACATTAGGGTGTCTGGCCACAAGAAATTTGTATAATTTCTTACTATATGAATTCCCCCTTTACTTCCCTTTATGTTCAGTGATTTACAGTTCTATCCTAAAGGACAGTGATAAAAGTGGCCAATGCTTTACCTGGAGAACATTCCTAACTAAAAGAAGTTTTAAAAACACGTTCTTATGTAGGTGATGGTTTGCTGGTTATCCAGACATAAGGAGAAATAAGAGACCCCAAAATAAATGGTGATTTTTTTCCTGCAAAATTAATAAGACAAATAAACAACTTTCTAAAATGGTTAGGTTTTTCAGAAAGAACATTCTGAGTATTCATCATTTATGTACAGAAAAATACTTCAAAGCAACACTTTTAGGGATGAAAAAAAACTGCTGGAGAGGTAATTCTTAGTATTATTCTATCCATCTAGATCAGTAACTTTTGTAATATGCTTCCTGAGAAACTCTTGAGAAAGAACACACGAGAACCAGTAATGTCTTTTTATTAAAATACCTCTTAAAACACTCATCATCATAAAATACACTGGGTGTTGCTGCATGACATTTGTGTACACACAACACTTTCAGCAAACTCTAGACAGCATCAGGAATTACAAAAAGTAAGGCAAGCCCCAGAAGGTGTGCACTACCTTCTCTCAGGCCACTACAGACAATTGTGTTTACATTTTTATGCCATTCCCACAGCATTTCCTGGGATACCTCTTAGGTCGCTCCCCCATCCCTCCTGCCCCCACTTGATTTGACCTCACAGTGAAATTCTGAGGATGTAAATGGAGACAGTGTCACAGATCCGTGGGGCTGCAGGTGCCTGACCAGAAACATCAGCCCTCTTCCTCCCCCAAGAAGATTCTGAGCTACCCTCATCTTTCCAATAATTTAAGACTGCAAAAATCTGAAGCATGCTAATGACCTCCTGCATGTTTGATTGCTACGTGTCTCCTGTCTGGGTCAGGAACATGGATGCATCACCCTCCAGCTACAGTCACAGCTACTCTTAACATATTCTTCCTCTCCATTCATTTTAAGAAATTCTAGCAGAAAAAAAATATAACATGAATTGTAAAATATAGGAAGAACAACTCCTCCATTATAAGCTAAGTTTTTCTATTTTTGTCTATGATCTTTTATCACTTAACTGTAAGTTTAAAGTATGAAGACATTCCATAATCCACTAGTTCAAAACAATAACATTCATCTTTCAAGTACATCTTAATAGCTGAAAAAGACACTGAAGAAAGTAACATTATTTAACGAGAGTAGATTTTTCTTTTAGTATTATCATTATTATTATTATTATTCCATCTTATTGAAAGAACTGTATCATGAGAAAAAAGTGGAAAAAACCTTCAGGAAAATTTTTCAACAAAATAAATGTAATATGACTGCTTTCATGTGTACATGGTACAGATAGACAGGTGTAACTAGAAAACAGTTTCATCCCTCTAGCTGAGGTTAATGAGAGAAAAATGAATAGTCAATAGTTCCTTTTTGTGTTTGCATATGCATATATGCATAAAAAATTGAAGGAGTTAAAACCTACATTATTATAAATACAAAAAGCTGATCATTAACTACTCATAGACTTTATTCTTGTACTTAGTACCATTATCAGTGGACACCTTAAATCAGTCATAGTAACTGCTATGTAACTGTCAACATATAAAAACTCTTGCTTAGAAAAATGCACAATGTTCTAAACTCAGAGCACTTTAACTTTGCCTTTGCAGACACATATTCCCTTCTTCACTGACAAAAATTTATGGGGAAAAAGAAGAAATTTAATAATAATAAAAATGTTTTGGAATAAATATTCACAGGAAATTACTAAATGTGAACATGCTTGCTGCCAGCTGCTCAGCTGGTAGACCTGTACCACTTGCTTGTTCCTCTCATTTCATTCTTTATTCCTTTAGTCATTAAATCCATCATAGCCTTTCATGTTTCCTTTACTGGACTAAATGTTCAGGGTGTAACAGCCCTAGAGAACAGTGCAACACGTGGGAAATGCAATAGCACTTACCAGCTTTATTTTGGGATCTAAGAGAAGACTGAAAAGATTAACTTGTGTAACACATAAATTATGCATCATGGCCCCAATGAAAAGAGAGCAGGGCAAATCAAACTTGGAGGAAAAGTATGCCATATATGGTGTTTTGCTGGGCAGCCCTTCTAAGAAGTTAGGATTTTATCCATGACAGCCCATTCTTTGAACTTGAAGAGAAAGCATGAATTTTAATTTTTCTCCAAATATCACTTCCACAATAAAAGCTAACCTTAAAAATTGGAAGGTAATAAAGTTAAAAAACAAACCCAGAAACCAAATCCCAAAAACCCAGTCCCTAAACAACATCCACCCTCCCTCCAACCTAGCAGCCATTTATTTATTTGTTGAATTCAGATAATGGAAATCTCATCACCGTATTCTAAAAGTTTCCCTACTCTAAACTACAAGATAGAGTACTATGTTCTGAAAACCAGTATAGACAATACTTTCAAATCAAAGGAAAACAATCAGAACAATAATGATGAGCATGACTGTACCATTTGAGCAGAAACAGAGAAAAACAAGTTTAAAACATAGTGTTTAAACATCTACTAGTTAGCCTCGCTTATATGAATTAAAAAAAAAAAAAAAGAAAAAAGAAAACAGTTCTCTGATTTTATACATCCTCTTTTCAACCAGGTACATTTAATTGCAACCAGCAGGCACTCCACCAAAATGCGGTATTTGCAATCCCAGTCTCTTTAACCGAGAGAGATTACTTTGGCCTCAGTATTGCTATATTACAGTTTTCCTGCTTCAGAACATGCAGTTCATACATTTGACAGTTTTACTGCCATAGTCGATGCATTCTGGCCCGATGCACTCACAGCAGGCGTTGTGAAACCATCGGTATTTGGATGCTCCCATGGACTCACAAGAGATCTTGCACTGATGTATTGACATGCAGTCATCAAAGTACACCACAGTACACATGTGTTCTAAACCAAGAAGGGAAAAAAAGTTTGGTTTAAAAGGTGTTTTTAAAGGTTAGTTAGATATTAGTTAAATGAGCAGCTGTAGAAGTATGATTGCAAACCGACAGGACTATGAGGCATAAGGAAAAAAGTGACAGTAAAAGCAGAGAGTCAAGGCAGAGAGACAAGGTAAAATCTATCAACTCCAAATTTTCAGCATCTACAACTCAACCTGTTGTCTGATCTCCTCCTGGATTAATTTACTTCTATATTCACAGGCAAGAATGTTTTTAAGTTTTGTCCCCCAGTTATGAGAGCGTAAGGATGAGTTATTCCAAAATTGCAAGCAGGAATGTGTCCTCTGAAGGTAATATGCTACCACAAAAAACTTCAGGTTTAGAGAAGTTATTTTTAAAAACCATCAAAAACCATTATGTGGTTGTAAACGTTTCTTCCCCCCCCCCCCGCCTCAAACTCCACCGTGATCTTTAGCCAGATTAAATCACAGACCTAAATAATCCTTTTTTCATCAGCATGAAACTGCACACTTTTTTCTTTCTTTTTTTAAGCAACACCACCAGCTTTACTATTAATCTTAAGAAACCCCTTCTGCCTAAGTGTTGACTTCATGCTTCTAACACCCATGCAATTACTTGAAATGCCATGAAGTTTGGTGCTGCAACATCAAAATGGAGCTAAGGCAGTCACCACAACTATAAATAAAACCATTTCCCCCTCAGTCCCCTGTCACCGTCATATTTTCTGAAAAATCCCCTTGTCCAGGATTCTTCTCCTTGGGAAGCTAAGAAGCCTCAGAGAAAAAGGAAAACAATATGATCTCATCTGCTTCTCCTGTGTTTTACTGCTTTGGATTGTGGTTTGGAGATTGTTTATCCAACAGGTGATTGCTTCATTGTTTTCATGTGAATTGTTTTGCCTTAATGGTCAATCACAGTCAGGCTGTGTCGGGACTCTGGAAGGAGTCACCAGTTTTCATTAGTATCTTTCTAGCCTCCTGTCTGTATCCTTTCTCTATTCTTTAGTATAGTTTAGTTTAGTATTCTTTAATATAGTATAGCATCAAAAAATAATAAATTAGCCTTCTATGAAGATGGAGTCAGATTCATAATTTCCTTCCAACAATGGAGGTCCTCAGAAAATACCATAGTCCACTTCCAATTCTCCAAGCGGGCAGATTCTACCACCTCTTCTGTACTGACCATAAAACTTTGTTCATTCTCCAAAGGACCACGATTACATAACATTTACCCAGAGCATAACTGGCAGACTTTGGGGAAAGCACAACTGCAAACAGGAATGTCTCCCTCACGCAGATCAGACCAACTGGTAAGCAGGAGATGTCAAAGGGCTTTCTAGCCTATTACTACTCATGGTGCACCTGGGAGAAACCCACTGATTTACATTCTAATGTGGATTAGAAAAAAGTAATACGAACTTAAATAGTAAATCAAAACAGTGGATTTGGTTTGGTTTTTTTTAATGGCTGATTTTGATCACTGTCAAATTATTATGCTGCTACCAAAACAGCTGCAAGAAGGTCAGAGGATGTGCTGCCAGCCCACTGGAGGCAACAGAGTATTCACTGCCTGGGTCAGGCTCCAAACTGATGTACATGCCTTGCAGACACCAGACACAATGCAACAGGCAATAGGGATCTTGGGTAGGAGAGGCAGACCCAGAGCTGAAGCAGTTTCTGCTCCCAGAAAAGCTGTGCTGCAGTTGTCAAAAAAGTCTTGCAGTACCTGAAATACTGCTGGAAACATCAACAAAGTCCACTGTGGCTATGTAAATCCTGTCCCATTCTTGGCACTTCTATTTCTTTAAGCCCTTATAATATATCCTGAGGCAAAGCAACCAGAGGAATAGAGTTCTCAGAGAACAAAGTCTCTACCTGAAAACAACCAACATACCAATAAGGATGTTTGATTCATAGAGAGGAAGAAGAAAAAGCTGAACAGAAGTATGGTACCATGTGCAGAGTGATAGGTGTACACCTGAAGTGCTCAGCCAAAGCTAAAAGCAGTAGGGAGATGCAGCCACCAGAGCCTCAAAGGCAAGAAGGCAGAGGCCAGACAGAGCTCCAACTTCTGTGGGGAATGCACAACAAAGACTTGGCAGCATTTCATCACCAGCGACAAAAAGTTCAGATTGCCATAGTCCCAAGAAGAAGCACACACCATCCATACCTAGAAGTACCAGATAGCCCCAGGTATCTGTTCCCTTTGCTCCTCACAGGAAGTTTTTAGTGGAAGGGTAGGGATGAGAAAATAGGAGCAAGTCTGCAGACAGTATTCTCATTCCCATCAGTCATCCAAGCCAGTGCTGGGGCTCAAGCACAAGAGCCTTACAGAAGCCTCTGCTGCACATTACTCATACTCTTTATATCCTTTTGCTTAATCTCTATTCAGTCCTTTGATTCCTTTTTAGTAGTTTTCTACTGAAGTGTTACTGCATTAAGTTTGACCTTAAATTCCATAGTCTTAGAAGGTGTCAGCTGGAGGCACAGAGCCTCTCCCTTGAAACAGGCAATCCTGGCTAATCTAGAAAGATTTCTTCCTGCAAAATCACCTTTTGGGATGCCATCTCCAGCTGACTGACTTAGTCTCCAGATAAGCCTGAGAAGGCAAAATGATTCATGGCTATCTCCAGATTGGAGTGAAACAGCTCCTCAAAGGAAGCAACCATCCAAGGGGTTGCCAGAAGTGCTCACTATCTGTTGATCATAGCACTCCAACTTGCAACACAGAAAGGGAAGCCTAGGGTAGGCCAGGGAAGTTGTCAGGAAAGCTGTGCACACTCTGAGGTGTGCTAACTGCCCCCAGCACTTACAGACTGTCTTCACACCAGAGAATGTCCAGTCCCTTCTGTGTAAGGAGACATCTGTGCTCACCTTCTTGTTAACCTCATCTCTGACAGCCTCAAAACTGTCAGCACTGCTTCACAAGTCCTGCTGAAGCCTATCAGCTAATGCCTGCAGAAATGAAATAAACTTCCTGGGGGAGGAGAGCCTGTGATTTCTAGGATGTAAAGATCAATGACACTGAACAGGGAGACATCTCTCTGGGTAAAGGAGGCCAGAGGAGCAGCACCTGGCCTATAACTCTGGCAAAACTAGGTGGCATCAGTCAGCTCCAGTGAGACTGCAGACTGGTCTCCTGAATCACTCTCCCAGGACCAAAGCCAAAATTCAGCCTTATTATGGTGGCAGTGACAGCCAAGGACATTAATCTTGACTGACTGGAGAGTAGAAAAGAAAGTTTATTTCCACCTGCACACAAGTCAAGGGGGTTAGGTTCTTGAGGACAAACACAAAAATGCTGCAAAGGGGAGAGAGCAGACTGCATGTGGCGGGCCAGAGCCAGCAGTAGATCCATCTGGTCCCAAGCAGCTCTTGTAAGCAGCTGGAGGATGTGCTCCATGTATATGTTACCAAATTGTTTCTGACATCTTGCTTACTGAATGATGTGGCAGGTCTGAACAAGTCAGACTGTCCAGGGTACACTTTGTCACAGGGCACTCGCGATCCCCTCCTCAGCAATGCCTCTGTGCTCATGTGGAGGCTGAATTGCTGAAAGCAGGAGTTCCTCCCCTCAAGCACTAAATCCTGCTCTATGAGCTCTGCAAAAAGAGAGTTACACAGGGGAAAAAAATACATACCTACAGGCTCAGCTGGGAGCTGGAGAGTACTTAAACTCCTTCACAAAGCTAATTACCGAGTCATCACTTGGCTCCCTCAGTGTAGATAAAAACAATATTACTTAGTGCAGTAACAGCTTTCTCATTTGCATTTTGCCAATTTTCACATCCCAAGGATGACAGACTGCAGATGCTGGGAGGGAGAAGGATGCAGCAGTAAACTTTTTTCCCAGAACAATAATTTCTCACCTTTTCCCCCCTCATACTTCATATTCAGTGAAGGTTGTGTAGGAGAAGCAATCATCAAGTATCAATTAAAAGTGAACAGAAGAAACTACCAGGCTTTGCTATAAAACTATCTGTATTGGTGCAATATAGAAAAATTTAGTAACTCAGAGAACCTTCCCAGTTAATGACAGCTTGCTCTATGGGATCTTTGAAGTTATATGTGCTGTGTAACTTCAGCTGTCTGCTGGCCACTTTATTGGTAGTTCTAAAAGTTCTTTAAAAAGATAACTGTCCATCCAGCAGTCATACCATTTTATCATAGAACAGCCTGGGTTGGAAGGGACCTTAAAGATCATGTAGTTCCAACCCCTCTTCTGTTGGCAGGGATACCCCTTCCACTAGGAAAAACACCAGTCTAGTGCAGTAGTGAGAAGAGGGGAAAACAAGAACAAGATTAACCTGCAACTGCTTATGCACAATCCATTTACATAATCTACCACTTTTGGACAAGTCAATTTTATGTCAATCAATTTATAAAAAGAAACATTAAAAAAAAAAATTTCCTAGACTACCTAGAGAAGTAGATGTCTCTTCACTGGAATTCTTGCTCTCCTCCCCTGTTGCACTGGAAGAGAACAGAATTGCAGACCAGACACCATTCCCTGTGTCACCAAGCAGTGCAAGTCAGAAACTCTTAACTACAGCACAGATTTTGTTTTATCAATTGCCAAAAAAATTATCTAGTTCCCCTCTCCCTCTCGCCAACATCCTGTCATCATCTGAAACAACTAAGCTTATTTAAATCTCTGAACTCACAGTTCAGAGCTCTGAGGGTATCAGCTAAAAGTACAGCAAAGAGAATAAAGTACAAATGTAGCTCCAGATTAGTAACCATCGCAATCGTCTCTGAACTAGAGGCTCAAGTGCCAGAAACAACAGATACAAAGAACTACAGCAGCTCCAGCAGCGCATGCATAACTCTGGCAGCTAAAGCATTACAAGTCAGTTCACAGGAGGAAAGGGAAGACACTCATTAGGAAAATAACGGGGAAGTTCAAGGTCTGGTGGCTGGGTTCAGAGTAGCTGGGGCGAGAAAGGAATGCTTTATATCCCACCACACCCCACCTCCTCCCAGATCCACAGCCACCCTCCCTGGTGGTGGCTCCACGCCACTCGGGCACAAAGCTCATGGTTCCTGTGGCTGGTGCTGCTTTTGCTGGCACTCACCCAGAACTGCATCAAGCAAGTCTGGCACCCTGGGCCAGCCTAACGGCGATCCCTGCGAGAACGCGCAGTAACGCTGAAATCAGAGCTGTGTTACACTACGTGACAAGGGGTATCTGTAAGCAGTTGTACAATTTGTATTGTAAGCCTTTCCAAATTTTGGAATGTATTCCAGAAGACAGCACAGAGACCACTGTCCCCCTACAAAATCTACCTCTCATTAGCCCCTGTCCCTTAACAGGCCATGCCATCGGCTGCTGCCAGCACACCATGTTGGAGGGAAACAAGCAAGGAGCCACAGAAGAACCACAAAATGGAGGAGGCACAGCACTGTAAAGGAAACATAAAGCATTTGTATTCCTGTGAGCAGGAATATTCTTTCAGATCCCTGATTGTCACAGCCTCAAAGACAACTGCTTAGCAAGTCACCTTAAGGGTATCTCCGTTACTAAGACCTGCCCTCAAGCCTAGCAGCATTTCTGGGGAGAAGGAAAGGGTAAAGACATGGCCTGTTTCTCCCACTGCAGGCTAAACTTGTGTTTACTGCCACTGAGCACACACATACACCTTCACAAACCCTGCGTCTCTTTCAGGGGCTCTAACACTTACCAGCTTGTAAAGGCAGTGACCCAATTGTGTGACTGAACTCTGCATGGGCAGAAGCCATCATGCTCCAGGAACTCCCTCAGCTGCCTCACTGTGCCCATGCTCACAAGGCTCTTCAGTCCTGACCTACTGCCTGCCCCTCCACCTTCTGATTATGGCTTCCCCAATGAACTCAGAAAAACAGAATTAGAAACAATGTTACCCCACGGTAGCATCCAACACTCTTGGATGTCCTGCTGTCCTGCTTCCACCATAATAAACATCAGCTGATCGAGGCCAGATGCTAATTGTTCTTTCCACCTCCTCTATTCTCAATGCTCAAATCATCAATGTTTTTATAAGCAAAATTTAATATGACTTTAGAGAAAGCAGAGCACTACAAAGTTATCTACACTGTGACCAAGAAAAGAGACTTTTTGGCAGGCTTACGTATTTAGGTACTTAAAAGTATGGGAATAGGATGTGGAAAGTAATCCTCTATCTTTTCCAGTTCTTCACTGGTCACTAAGATGGAGAAGGCACAGCAAATGATTACAAGAACAGGCTCTGACATTTATTTCTGTTTTAAGTGTCTGCTGAGGCTTGAAAGCCACTGGCATTTGGTAACTATTTCCAAATATAACTGTTGTTTTTGGACTGTCCTCATTCCAGTAAGAGCTCTCTCAGCCTAATCTCTAATATGTTCCTAGTAAAAGAAATGAAGGGGACTTTTGACTAAGAAAAAATGTCAGTGTTATGTATTTGTCTGTGTTGTTGAACTCAAAACTGCTCCACACCCTTGAGATGCAATTCAAATTCTAAGTTTAATCCAAAACTATCATTAGCCCATCCTGTTGGTACAGTAGTAAAGCACTGTCAGGGAACAGCCATCTGGATTGCAGTACCTAAGTACAGTGGGATATATTCAAGGCTGTACTAAACATAATTTTTTTCCCCTGAGTTTAATTTATAACTGTAAATACTGTAGTCTTTGTACACAGGGCTTTTTGTGGCTTTCCATTTTACATGACTTTGTACATTATTCTCATAACGGCAAGCAAGCATTTTAATAACATCAAAGACATATGAATGAGATGCTTTCTGCCCATCTGGTTTCCTAGTTCTGGAATTAATTTATTTTTCTAATGTGCCTTAGCCAAAGGAAATTAGAAAAGTTGCCATTATGGTTCCATTTAATCAGCAGCAGTCCTACTCAGAAACACAACTAGGTCATTGGTTCACACTGCTGTGGAAAAGCAGCATGTCCATCAATTAGGGTATCTTTTATTGATAAGATAAAAGAGCCATCACAACAGCAACATATGGGTTACAAATATTTAAAGTGTATGTTGGGAAGGATGCAAAGCATTAATTGCACTAATAAATCAGATGCCCTTTTTCCCCTGTTAAGCAGCAATTCCACTATGAACTGTTTATGAGATTCTTTAAAGTCTGATGTAATGATTTGCAGGGAAAAGTGTTTCAGGTTTAGTATGGAAACCAAGAAACGGACAGTGTTTTTTTTATATCACTGTTGACTCTAACTCAAAGTTCTCATCTTTCCCCCACCCAACCACAGCAAACAGTATCCTGAAGTCTGTCCTCTAAACTGAAGGAAAGAATATAAAAAACTTAATATTAAATAGGAGGAATGAATCTCTAAGTTGAACCCCTACCATCAAGTTACTTATTTTGAAGACAGTCTGTCACATATCCTTCCTTCATCAATGCTTCTAATCTTGCTTAGGTTTACTATTAATCCTGGATTTCATACAAAACATCCTTCTGAAGATTTCAGGTTATGCCAGCTCAGATGAAATAAATAAACAACTCTTCCAGATACAAGAGCTTATGGCACATGGTTCTCTCAGACCTCTTAAGCCATGTTTCAGTTGCCTACTTCTGCACCTATATGTAATTCAGGTTCAGGTTCTGGTCTGTCCTGTCTCCTAAGCTACAGGTAACTGTTTCTGGGTCAGAGAACACACTGTGCCAGTGCACATGAAACAACATGAACAAACTGCCTCATGCCACAGGGGTAATTATAAACTCACGTGGTTCAGTGTCTCCTAAGAACATCAGTCGTTTTAACACCATCTTACATGTTCATCAACACCTTTGCCTCACTCCTTCTGTTATGTCGTGCTCAAAATTAGGCTGAACCTTTCACACATTCTTATGGGAAAAGAAGAAGCGAGCATAGAGAAGAATAGGACATGCACTGAGAAGGCTCCTGGAAAAAACAAGAGGAGATGCCAGGGAATTAGACACTACACTCCTTACCTTTGTCACTGGAGTAAGGTGTGTGCACATTGTTGTTTGGAACAGAGACGTTCTGATGCTGCGGCTGGTTCACTGTTTCTAAAAAGGAGACGAGGTTCTCATGGTGTGACAGTTCTTCTGCCACAGGGAAGGAAACAATATTCCAGTTCAGCTGAGTATCCCCTTCTGTCAGTGCCCGGAAAAGGGAAGGAATTGGTTCATGCAGCTCCTCAACAGTGCTCTTGGATGTCGGAGGTGTGTCACTGTAATTGCGAGGATTGCACATACCTGCAGTGGAAACAAACAGTAAATTCCACAGAACTCCCCAAGCTCTTCTTGAAATAGGTAGGAATAATTGGGGAATTAAAATTGCTTCTTTTCTTACTGAACAGAACAGAACAGAACTCTTTCGTATCTATCCCACTCTCAGTCCAATAGCAGAAGTGCTATCAAATACAGCAGGACGAGTTTTCTATCACAGCAGGTTTTGGATTGTTCAGACTTCTACAAAACACACCTGTGACTTGTGGAAAGAAAAATCTAAACAGCACTTTCCTTCCCTGTCAGTGTTACAGCTTAGGAAATGGAGGGTTCAGTGGAAAGTTTGTTTTCCCTAGGAGAAGAGATTATACAAAGCACAGCATAATTGATAGGAGCATAAACCTGGCATGCAAGGTTAGGACTGAAGAAAGGGAGTATCTTGATAAGTCTGAGGTATGTGAAACTTTTGATCACAATTCAAGTATTCCATCTCATCTGCTCCAGCAGTGCACTAGATCTTTTTAGTCATCTGCCAGAGATACAAAGATCACTCTCAGGACAGAGCATGAGTCTGAATTACTTTACTTGTGTAGAGACAGCCAAGATGAACCTCATTTTGCTACTTAGCTGGAGGGGCCACAACAGGCAAAATACTCATTTCTAGGTTACCTCTTCCTTCTTTTTCAACATCTTCTGCAGTATCTTTTTTGAAACCTTGTCATTTTTTTTCACTTTGCCAATTCCTACAAAATGTTTTTGTGATATGCAATGCTGGTTCCAGCTTTTTGTTAACCATTTAAACACTAATATTTATTACTAGCAATTAAACCAAAGGTCATTTCAATTAAAATCCAATCTGTGGAAACTTGCAAGATTAAAAAGAAAATTTGTATCTGCATAGGTATTTTAAACTCAGGAGTGATAAAACACTGTTGAAAGTCACCTGTCAAGAGACGGGCAAATCCATTTTCCCCATGTGCATCTGAATATAATTTTGGGTAGTTTCACAGACACAGGGTGAGACAGCTACAGCTGCAAAGCACACCAATTCCTGAAGTATTAAAGTCTTATGAGACATGAATGTTCAAAGTCTACCTGCCTCATACAACCAGAGAAGCATCTCCTGCCCCACAGATCCACTAGGGCTCTGGCTTCACAAATAATTGTGTTTAACTAGAGCCTTATACAAGCCCATAATCTTCTCAACCTAAGTAGATGGATTACCACAGTGAACAAAGCAGAGGGAAGTTTGTCCATGGTGATTAGCATGAGATCCAGCAAATCTTAAGCAAGTGGTTAGCATTACCAGCATTTGGTAATAGGAACACTCCATGACAGTCTGCTCCTATAAAAAGGTGAGCCAAGTACAGAGTAGGAAAAAAAATAAGCCTCTTTTCCAAACAACATCAGGTCATAATAAAATATAATTCCACTTACACAAACACCCTACTGTACATGATTATTTTCCTGCTCTTCTCAGTTAGGTTTGCTCTTCACAGACCTTTCTAGACTCACTGCTTTAATAAAAAATTTATATCCCTTCCTTACCACCCTTTAATAAGCACTAATATTAACAATGCTTTAACAAGCACTGTATTAACCATACAATTGCAAGAGAAGATAACCACCTGAAAATCAGTTAGGAAGATATCAAACCAGGTAAGAGTTTTGTACAGATACGTCAAGGGATGTATGCTTGAGTTGATGTCATTTTATTAATGACATCATTAATAAATTTCACTGATAAAAATGACACACAAGGGAAAACAAAATAACATCAAGAATGTTTATGAAAATCCTGCAGAATCTATACAAGTTTGTGTGCATATCAATGCAATGAAAATATTACCTTAAGATGGTACCAAAAAATCATTGCTTATAGTTTAATGGGTAAGTGCTCATCCACAAAGATCCTTCACCCTTGCTGTTTTTAAAAGCATTTGAATAATAATATTTTAATATAGTAAATATTGGTTAAAAAGACAATTGGTTAAAAGGTTAAAAAGAAAATAAAAAAAAGTTTAGCTTATGAGCAACCTGGAAGGATCAAACATGTCTACACTATTAAAATGATGGAAGCAGATAAACCTTTACACAAAGGACTAGAAGAGCTTAACTCAAAGGGAATGGGGGACTTGTTGCTGTTCTCCCTCCTCCAGCATGTTTTTCCCTGTCAGAGAAGGGAGAGAGCATACACAAAACATGGGGCATCAACTGAGCACTAGTACAGTTAGTGGTGGAGGACAGGAGGCAATTCCTGCCCTCGAGGCAGACATGACCTTTAAGACACAACAATCTATCTGCTTTTACATAAGACATGATCAGCTTATAAAGAAACTTAAAATATCAGCTCAGGTATCAGCAAAGAACTGTGTCTAGGGAGTCAGGTATGGCATGTATTCCTGTTTCTTTATTTGAATAAGGCTACAGCAAGGATGATCCTACACTGAAGAGAAGAAGAGTAGGACTGAGCCATAGAATCCAAAAAGGCCTGAGGCACCCAAAGAACCATCAGGAGAAGTTTTAGTTTACTCAGTACTGGGAAACTGAACCTGAAACCTTGTTAACTCCTCTCCAGAAAAACACTATGGGAAAGAGCAGCAGAACGGTGAGTCACCTGCAGATTTATAGAGAGAAGCTCATGTGTGGACTTCACAACCCCAAGTGGTAGGTCCTTCTTCTCCCTAGAGATCAGTGCACTATGCCTTGTTTTCTACACCAGGTTCTAAACTAGGAAATAACCTGCACTGAAAATGGGCATTTTGACACTAATCACCTCCATGAATTCAGAGAAAACTGACCTAGAAAGCCAGGATTTTGGATGGTGGCACAGGGAGATTTACAACAACCACAGGAAGATGAAGCTTTTTTTACATATAAAACATGAAACAAAACTAGAATACAACCTTCTTAAGCTGGGACAGCACTCACTTGCAAAGATTTGGGCACTCTGAACACCACCTGTCAGCAGCAACGTGTTCTTTAAGACCTTGTCTGCTTCTTTCTCACCCTTCACAAAGAGCTATTTTTGTAAATAAAAGAACAGTGGAAACACTGGGCCGTGCATATTTACTAGTAGTCCCAACCCAGTTCTAAAGGTGTCCCAGTGCTGTACCTGTCAATGCACCTTTCACAGGTAGAAACCTTCAGAAATACAGAAACAGCATCCAATCCCACTGGGGAGTTCCCTCAAGATGGCAATTCAAACAGGAGCTTTATGTTTGAGAGACAAAATTAATCAGCTATGATGACATTTAAAAAGCAATACCTGGGCTACTGCCACCCCCAGCTCCACAGAGCAGACACAGCCCTCAGATATTTGGGTCTCCACAGTAATTTATTCCATACCCACACAATGAGCTGTAAGGTGCTTAAAGCACAGATTCTGTCCCAGTGTTTTACTCCTATTTTAAGACTGTGAGCTCAGCATGTGGCAGGAGAAAGCAATGTAAAAAAAGCAAGAATTCCCCCCAAAAGTGCAAACTTACCAACACAGTCACAGCACTCATCCCAAAGTGTGCCCAGGCAGAGCATGCACTCCTTGCAGCAGGAACAGTTCCCTTCCCCAGGGCGGCACTGACACAGCTCCTGGAATCAACAGACACTCATTACACTGCAGCAATCCCAGATGTGAAATAACTACACAGCACAGTGATTTTTCCTCAAGCCACAACTCAAATTAGGGCATTAAAAAAGCTTAGTACACTAATACAGCGAGTAAACGGTGAAACAACTCCAGCCAAAATCCAATCCAAGTTTACAAAAGGATCTTTTGCAAGTTCGCTTTTTTTTTTTTCCCTTAAAGGTGACATTCTGAAGAGAAATCTGAAGCAAGCATTTAAAAGACAAAAAATCCTATTCATGGGAAAGGTGTCTGCACTTCTGTGCATGTGCATGACTAAATCTACAAGTTCTTTGAATGTTTTCCCATCACAACAGGAAACTGGGAGACAGATTCTTCTTTATATATAAATAGTGACCGTACATTATAATTTAACCAAAAAAGAAAGCTACTGTAAGCCACATGTGCCCACTTGAGACATGCATGATGTCTACCATCACACCTATCCCTGGATTCTAAGAGGAACTTACCCATTTAAGCCATCTGACCACAGGATTTTCTGCATCTCCAAACACTTGTTACACATTGCTCTCTGTTTCCAACATCAGTGACCAGATTTTCCCCCCTTCCCACCCGCCCCAGCTCTGGATGATTCATTTTTGCTGTTATGAAAACAACCTTATGCTTTGTCCCTCCAAATTGACACCTTGGGATACCTACAAGGCTTCTAGAGCCTCTAGAAAGTGAAATGACCTACACAAGTGCTTTTCTTTAACTATTAAAACCTAAAAAGATGGAAAAGGCGTGGAAACATAAAGACAAATATTTCTCTTCATACTACCTAAACCCAAAATCTCTGGTTTAGCAGTCCTGCTGCAGACACACACTTGTGGACTCAAAGCATGGAAAAAGCCAACAGGGATGAAGAAAATCTAAAAACCAGGCAGTCTCCTTCCCTCTAACTCAAATCCATGCTAGTAACTCCAGTTTGGCCAAAGGACTGCGGCTGCACGACAATAACTCACAGCCTTGAATTACATCATAGCACAAAACACAGACTGGCCAAGAAGTCCCTTTGGTTGTCCTGTGTAAGGATTTGGCTTTGATGACGTCTGTCTAACTATCATATTACACACAACTGGGGAGAAAACAAATCCCATTACTGGAAACACTGACCACGGGATGGGATGGTTCCACCCCCGGCTTTACTGGAAGGGCCATCGGCAAAGTGTTACACACCAGGCCAGGGGGGAGATTATGGCCATCCCCACTCTTTGATCCCATTATCCAGAGGCAGAGGAGGGACACACTGCAGGAGGTGCTCATGGACAGGAGAGAAGGGCAGGAAGGTGGTTTGGTTTGAAATTCTCCTATCCTGCAGTCTCCACCCATGGTTCCACCCCAGCTGGGTCAGGGGCAGGCAGCCATGTCATTTTCCAAGTGAGGTTTCTTTCTGAAGCACATTGGGAAGAGCTCAAATTGAGCAAAATTCCATTTTTAAAATATTTCCTTGCTTGCTATGGTTAAGAAGCACAAGGTAGGGGAGAAAGAGGCATTTTATAGCAGATGTCAGGAACACCTAGCACCTGATCGTGTATGACTCCTGCTCTCTCTTTACTCTGCAAAACTGGCCACTGCAAATACCCACAGCCTGCTGGGCTGCACTGCGGCCACCCCTCGCTCACACCAACTCACGTGGGCACACAGAGGACCAAGGAGAGCCCTTCAGAGAGGGAGGCCAGAGCAAAGTCTGTACAGGGACAGGCCCCCAGAGCACAGCAAATGGAGCTGCAAGGCTCCCAGGCCTGAACAAGCCCTAGAATGTGCTACAGACAAGCTACAATCTACTAATGCAGTATAAATCCACAGATTCCTTATTTTTCCTTTCACTTCATCCCAGATCACAAGTCATCTTGTATCCAGCAAAGAAACAAAATTCACCAGCTATTGCTTGTGCTACATAATGCTGAGAAATGCTGTTGCCTGTAGAGTTTATTGTGACCTCACTGACTGATGGAGAGTGAACCCCTGCTCCACACTCATTTCTGCAATAGGCAGCCCTTGCAAGTATTGAATTTTTATTTACAGAGTGGAAAACTACTAAGATTTATTACTTTTTCATCCTCAAAATTTATGAATGGCACCTATCACTGTTTCCACACAAACTGTGCTGTTTCCAAGTAAAAGATGAAAACAGGCTGATTAACAAAATATGTACATTTTTCCGCCACAGGAGACACTACAAACTTAGTAAGATGACTTACGTGAGTTAATGATGCATTTCTAAAATATTTATCTTACCATTTGATAAAGAGATTTTGTCAGCCTTCAGAATAAAAAGCCTGAATAGAACAACTTTAAAAACAACCACAAGTTTAGCATTAAAAATATCCAATTTTTCTTCAACAGTAAAACCAGGCAAACAACTTTTACATTTTAAAGACACCAACAGGCCAGCATGTGGGAGGAGGCAATTCTCACTAAACTATTAAATGTAATGCATGAATAGAAGCCAGAAAGTTCACTAAAGTAGTTTTGGTTTTATGCAAGAGTACTCTCAGAGAATTAAATGTAACCTTAAATTCTGCACTTGCAACCTGTTAACAAAAAATTCTGCCTAGCATCTATGTGTGTAAGCACTGACTTGGGACCAGCACCATTGCACCTACCAGTATTGTAACAAGTTTGTTTTTACAGGAAGGGCTCATGAGCTGTGCAATATTTAAGGGGTTTTTTGTTGCTGTTTGGGGATTTTTGTATGTTTATTTGGTTTTTTTATTATTATGTCTTTATTTTAAAGTTGGAGGGAGAGGAAGGAAGAAAGAACAACCTAATTAATTAGTCTTCTGCCACTTTGGGGCAATAACTGTGTTTTTCCATGTATCTGTTTGCACATCCATGGTTTCCTGAACCAGTTTTGAGTCCTCCTGCCTGACTCATCCAACTGGATACCGGTAGAGGATACATCTTTTTAAAAGAATGCTTACATGAGACGTGGGTGACAGCAAGGCAGAATAAGGAACGTTCCTTGTTGATAGCTGGGGGTGGTGAGACGTCAGTGGAAGAAAATATTACTCATCAGCCAACTTGGCAACTTCCCAAGCTGAACTACTGAAGGTGCATCAGAGAATGTATTTTGCTGGGCAAGAAAGAAGCCTCAGGGTTTAAAAATACAGTATTAAGTAGGAAGTAGGCATGTTTTTACAATAAAGATATTCCTGGTCCAGAGAGCAAACAATAATTTTTAGAAGATGTTAAACATCTAATTTTTTTCCAAAGCTTTCTTGCAATTCCAGAGAATATTTTCTTGGTGCAGGGAGAAGCAGGACCTGAAGGCATTGGAAACCTCTCTGCACACTGGAAGGGGGACTGAAAGAGAGCTTTTTTCCCTAGAACAGTTTAATAACAGAAAATCTCCTGGAAGTGAACCAACCCGAACTGTTTTGTTAACCCAGCCGGGTTACGTACTGCAGCTACAACACACACTGGAAGTAATTTTTAGCTGCTGAAGCCCTGAAGTTAAGGAGTGGCATTTATTTCATACCACAGGGCTAAAATGTCTTGGAAATCCTTTCAGGCTGACAAGTTTGTACACAGGATTAACAGGAGGCAAAAAAGACAGATGGAAAGAGATTTTAATTGGAATGATACCACACCAGCTGAGGTGGTGGCAGGTTTGTAGAGTTCAGGAGAGAAAATCTTGTTTTCTCCACAAAACAGGAAAAAAAAAATTGGAACAATACCACACCAGCTGAGGTGGCTGCAGATCTGTAGAGTTCAGGAGAGAAAATCCTGTTTTCCTCACAAAACAACCTCTCTTTGGAAGCATCGTAAAACCATGCCTGAATTATAACATTATTTGTTTCCTATGCACAGCAACAGTTTAAATCACTGTTGCAGATGAGGCAGCAAAGCTCAGCTTCCAGCCCAACACTGACATTCCACCCAAGCCTGACTCCTGCCAGGAGCTCTGCACCTCAAGAGCCAACCTGGGACCTTTTGCTATGAACAATTGTGGGAACGTTTCATCTCGAGGTTTCTGCCTTCAAGGATTTCCTCCATGTTGCAAGGACACAATATTCCCTCCCCCCACTCAGTGAGGGCCTTTTCATCTCCTCCATACATGGAAACATCAAAACAACCCACGGGCCAAGCCAGCAGCAGATGTGCTCCATAAACACTGCAGCACACGCTCCCTTGTGCACCCAGGGCTCCACCTGGAATGCAGGGCAACGGTGGCTCATGGACTCCAATCCCAATTCCAGGGATGTGGGAAGGAGCTACAGCCAGAGCCTTGAAGGGCCAAACTAATTTTGTGGACTCACTCTCTACACTCCCAAGTCTTTACCACTGCTCTCTCAACAGCCACACAAAGCCACAAAGTTTCGTAGCAAAGGCTGAGCTTTTCCAGAGAGATGCCTCAAGCCATTTTCTTCCAGGCCTTTGCTTATGGAAAAAGAAGAGCACCAATAAAGCTAGAGCCCAGGATGCAAAGGGAAAGCTGAATCCATGGGAGTTGTTGATCTCATGCACTGTTCTGGACCTAACAAAATAAATATTTATGTAGGGACCACCCTTAAGCAGAGGAGCTCCTAAGGAGTGGCAGTAATGACTGTACTGACTTTTAGCCATGCTGGCAAAAATATTTATGTTAACTGTGTGCTTGTTGAGAGAGCAGGTCCCTTGTCCCTCTGTCTCCAGGACAGGCAGCCTCCCTTTCTGCACACAGATGCAGATGACAAACACTCACAATCTGTTTGCTCGCCCAGTTGTCTCTGAGTGACATTATCTGGGTTTCAAGACAGGGATTTTTCTAAACTTGAACATCGATAAAAGTCGGTGAGGGAAAAATGTCATGCGATATTCAAGCAACCTCCCTCAGCATTGTATTTTATTTTTAAGTTCAGATTCCTCCAGAAGAGTTTAGAGAGGGAAAAAAGTACATGGATATCTACTTGCATATCTATCCAGGAAAGAACGTGCATTTCATATGCCAGTGCAGCATTTCTGCCACACCAGCACTGAAGTTTTAAAACAAATGAAAAAGCCAAGAAGAAAGATGACAATTGCTTTAAATCAAAGCTTTAGGATATCTTCCTGTCCACAATCAGACTAGTCTGACCTGATCTGTTCTTTTATAAAGAATGAATACTGACTGGTAAGTCAGGCCTGTGTGCAGAAAGACGGCAGCCAGATGGTGAAAGCAAACAGTGTAATTCCCTTGCAACTGCACAACATTTACATGGCCTAGGCCACTTTAGGGTCTCAGAGAATTGCATATGATTTTAATTTTAGGGAAATGCTTTAAAAAGGAACTCCACATTACCTGCACAAAGTAAGAGAGAACACACTTACCACAAGTAAAGCAGTTCAGTGGTTTCTCTGTATGCACAGGGCTGTGTTGCTCCAGAGATGCCAACATAATCCAAGGAAAGCAGAGTTGTATGAGCCATTTCCATGCACTGCTGAACCTCAGCCATTTATTGCCAGCTAAGTAAGGACTCCAGTAGCATTAACTCCACCCCTCCTGGGCTGTGCTCTATTCAGACTAGCTCATAAAAATAAAGTTTAAATGCTTGCTGTCTCAAGCTTGACTCGATAAGAGATGATTTCTCAAGGAGGAGATACCTGTTCTTTCACAGATGGTGGGCTCCATCAGTGGCCCCAGAAAAGGAGATACATCTTCCCTGTTGTCCCCTTTGCTTACAGAGAAACAAGCAGCAGATCAACAGCTTCCAGGACTGAAATCCAGCACCTGGACCAATAACTTTCCCCTGAATCAACAAATCTGTACCACTGGATTTACTATTTAAGTGCCACTTACATCCAATGCCACAATTAGCATGTTACTTCTTACAGGTTTCATTCCTGGAGCTGATTTCAAAAAATGCAAGAGAAGGGGCTCATATGTGCATCAGTTTGTCACAGTGCACAGTGTCCAACATGCCAGCAAAACCACTGGAGTTCTGTTTGAAAAGGTAAAAATCAGAAGCCTCATTCTTGCTCCCCTACTTAACAACTCCACAGATTGTGGTGGGGCTGGAAGAAGCAGCAATTTGTTTTTTTTTTTGCTTTTAAAGCAAAGGCAGTGCAGAACCCAGAAAGAAGATGGTTCAGCCTACAGTCAGTCTTGTGAATCTGGATGGATTTGGGAATCTGGCAAGTGTTTTATTTGTAACCCAGACAAATTTTAGACAGAAGTCAGCAAAATGAAGTAAACATGCAAATGCTTGAGGCCACTTCTGCATCTCTTTTCAGGCTGTGACCATGCATTTACAGTAAGCACATCACATCTTACTGCCATATGACGTTGGTGCTCTGTTATTGCCTTTCAAATCTACAAAGAGGCAGTAGGAAACAGTTGCTTTTAAAAAAGCTGCAGCTGACCACATGAAGCTTCCTTTCTCAGTCTGGAGTCAAGAAGCGTGCTCTGTTTACCATGACTAAAAAAATACTTGGTAGCTACCAGAACTGCTTGTCTTTTTGCTAGAAAAGGTCCTTTTGTTCTGCTGCACACAACATCTCCTAACTCCTGCTCTAAGAAGAGCAACCTGGTCTCACTCTGTTTCTTTCACTGTACAGACATGCAGTGAGTCTAAAGCAGCAGCATGAATTTAATGTACATTTCCTAGGAGTTCAGCTCATAAGTATTTCGTTTGGTTTTTAGGCATCTTTTAATTCACCATACAAACCTGATGCTATGGAGACCATCAGTTGTCAACTCCTGACCCTCTGCTTGAGACTTAAGGAACTGGACAAATTGAAAGCTAAGGGCAACATCTCAGACAGACATAATCCATGGCTTGAAAAAAATTCAATTACAAAAAACGCAAAAAGCATGCCCATATAAATATGCCCTTGGTATTCTCTGTCTATAAAATGGTTGTAAATCTGCACTTATATGGGTAGGAGATCAAACCAACCTCTTTACAGAGACACTACTTAACATAAAATGCCAGTTATTTGTATCTTTTCAGGAGGCAGTTTCGGGGCTGCTTCCTGCACCCTGGAAAGCAGATGGAGGACGCAGGACCCGTACCTGTATCAGGCACTTGCTGACGTCGCTGGCACACAGAGCCTTGTTGCAGCCTGCTGAGGATGGGATCCACAGCAGGAACAGAAGGACGGTGACTGTGGGCGCCGTGATGTACTGTGACCTCATGTTTCCTGCAGGCGAGCAGTTTTCACAAGTACTTCAACCAGCACTGAAACAAGAACTAGCGACTGAAAAGGCTGTTGGAACACAAGTCAAATTCCATTCCATTCCCCCTTCAATAAATATGAATATTTTTAAAAAATGCAAACTGGGGTACTTTGCAGCAAACCAAATCCCTCCTCCTCCAGCTAACTTGTTTGTACAAAGCTTTCTGCTATTGCACCTTTGGATTAAAACTGCAATAAACTTGAGGCGAGCAATCTCAAGCTTGCAGTATCAAATATGACATCCTGTGATATAAATCGCCTCAGATGAGAAAACCCACCAAAGGAGACTTAATTTTGCAAATGCCCAAAGCAGGAAGATGGGTTTTGTGGAGTATCTCCTCAGGCTAAGGTACCCACAGGTCTGTAGGGCCAAGGCCACACAGCCATCTTTTACACCAAGGTAAGTTGCCCCGTCACCTTTAATGCAGACAGGCAGCTATTTTCACATGGACTCAGATGTCACACAGGCTATCAACCCAATCACAAAATTGTTAACTTATTTTTTAAAAATATACAGACACCACCATTAAAAAAAAAAACAAAACCAGACACTTTGAAACACGTAACTTTCAAAAGCCAAGCAAGTGTCTGAGGTCAACCAGAGACGACAAGCATCTGCTACATCAAACAGACAGGAACCGGGTTTGTTCAAAGCATTCCACCTTTCTCCCTTTGTGAAAACCCAGCCTGTCGGCAGGTGGTATTTGCCACAAATATATCACGATTAGCAGCGTGCCACTCAGTTTTCACTTGTGCTTTGCATGTGAGCCCGGCTAAAAGAGGACCTATTGCACCAGGCACTGTACCAATATATAATAAAAGGCAGCCCATGTTTGGGCAAGCTTACAATGAGCCTGTATTGTTCTCCTAAGAGAGAAAGAATGCTAATGGAGCACTGGATTGCTTTCTATTGGTATCTAGAAATGTTTTTCTGTTTTATGAACTACAAAACCCGACACCCTCAATGAACAAAAAAGTGGAAAATGAAGGCACGATCTGGACATTCAAAGTCTGCGTCCGATTAGTCCCTGTTACAATGGTTGTTAAATGCCTCCGAATCTCGCTGTGCTGGGCACGCCGCCATCTGTACCAAGTTTTGCTGGGGAGACCCCCCTGCAAGACGCACGGAGAACACGGGATCTTTTCCCCCACCGCTTTCCCTCCCTGCCATCCGGAGCCAAGGACGCTTCCCTCCAGCAGCCACAGCCGTCGGCCCGGAGCCGGAGCCGGCGGGTGCCGCATCCCGGCCGCGGGAGCGGAGCCGAGCACGCTGCCTGCCGGGGAGCGATCCAGGCGTGCTCCCGCACGGCTCAGCGCAGGGCTGCGTTACATAAAGGGTCCCAGCAGCGGGCCGGGCGATGCCGTCCCCACGGACACCCCTGGGTGCGCACCGGGGTCCGGGTGTCCCTTCCCCGGCCTCCCTCCCCCCGCTCCAGCTCCGATTCACCGACCGCTGCTTTCCCAGACTTTTATCCGGCGCGGCACCCCCCGGAGCAGGACCCCCGCCCGCCGCCCCTCTGTCCCGCAGCCCACCGCGGCGGCACCGGCTCAGCATCGCTCCCCCGCTCCGCCGGGATCGCACCGGGGCGGAAAACTCCCCAAAACCCCTCCGGCCGACCGACCCGCGCCCGGCTCCCCGTCCTCGCCGCAGCTCCCGAGAGGCCCGGGCCCCAAAGATGGCACTGCCAGGGGCCGGGAGGCCGGTGACAAGGAGGGAGATGTGGGAGGGAACCCCCCCCCCCCCGCCGGAGTGGCCCGGGGCAGGCGGGGCCCCGCACGGGGAGCGGGTCTCCTCCTTCTCCTCCTCCTCGGGCAGGCACGCAGGCAGCGGGGCGGCCGCGCCGAGCCGCACCGAAACTTTCCTGCCACAAAGAAGCAGCCACGGCTCCGCCGCCTTCTCCACCCACTCCTCCCCAGCCACCGGCTCCATCCCGGCCGCCCCCCGCGCACTCTCCCGGCAGCGCTCACCGGGCGGCCCGGGCCGGGCACCCCGCGCTCCGCAGGCGGCTCTCGCTGCTCCGGAGGCGGCGGCGGCGGCAGCAACCCCGCGCCTCGTCCCACTGCTCCCCCCTCGGCCGCAGGCAGCGCGGAGGCGGCGGCCTCGCATCATCGCCCCGCCTCGGGGCACCGTCAGGCGCCGGGACCCTCCCCCCGGGACCCTCCGCCCCGGCGGGCGGCGGCTGCGCGGAGCGGCGCGGGAGGAGGAGGAGGCAGGGGCCGGTAGACGGGAGCTGCCGCCGGGCCGTGCCTAGCGGGACGGGACGGGACGGGACGGGACGGGACGGGACGGCCAGGCCACTGCCTCCGGAGGGGCTTCTTCAGGGGGGGGGCAGGAGGAGGGACTATACCCCCCGCAACCCGAGTGCGAAAGTCGGGGTTCTGTGGGCAGGCAAGCAGCCCGGGAAGCCGGGTCAGGAGCAGCGGGCGCGGGGAGCAGAGGGCGCCCGGGGCAGCGCTCCCGGGCCGGAGGGAGGCGGGAGAAAGGGAACCGGGGGCAGCGCCCCTGGAAGCGCCAGCGGGGAACGCGATGAACTCCCCCGATGGCTGAGGAGGTGCAGGTGCCCGAGGGAGGGCAGGGACCGCCTGCATTGGGAAGGGACCCTGGGCTTCCGGACAGCCGCTCCCAGGACCTCTAAAACGCGGCCGGACGGCGGCTTTATCCTCCCACGTGCCAAGCCCCAAGGAACCAAGGTAACAAGTTTGGTCCCTTAGAAGAAAAACACAAGAGGATCCTGGCTGGGTACCCAGAAACTCAGAGTAGCTCCGGGGCTTCCCAGGAGGCAGCTGGACCCTGGAGAGGGAAACAGCCATCGCGCCAACGCGTTACTGCCGTGTTTCCTCTCATCCCTTCTTCCCAGCTCCCGGCACTGTGCTGAGGTAAATCCACAGGCCGGTGTCCTTAAACAACACAGGAGGTATCATCCCACAGAGTAAACTCGGAGAAAGAAAAGAAAAGGAAAAAGAAAAAAAGGGAACAAATCTTGGATTCAAATCAGAGAAGCCAAGAGATCATTATCTATGGGATTGAAACATTTGGAGCAATAAAACTTACTAAGAAGTTGCAATTGTAAAACCTCTGTTGCAGAGACTGGGAAATAGTTTCTTCTTATAAAGAAGACCCAGACTAATGCTAAGAAACATCTGTCTTCAGATCTCCTTACAAGATACTGCCAAAATATTTTTCTTGTCTCCTGCAGACCAAGTATTTTTGTCACACACTTCTTTTTTAACACAGCCAAGACTTGTACAACCCAGTTTATTTTCTGTTCTTTTTGCTAACCTCTTAATTACTATCTCGTATTTCTGCCACTTCCAGTCACGTCTGTTGCTTTTTACTACTCTAGCAACTATCTGATAGAAGTAACTTGTACCCACTTACTAGTTAACACCTTGCAGCTTTATCCATTTTTCCTCATCTTTTCAAGCAGATAAAACAGATTTCTGCAGCATTTTAAGATTTTACAGCTATGTTCAGAAGAGTATTTAACTTGGAGAAGAAATTTGCTCTTTCCTCAATAGTTTCAATTTTGAATGAGGTCAGAAAGATATTCCTGTAATAAAAGCAGGAACAACTTCTCTTTCCACCGGTACTTAACAAATTAGAAGTGAAAAAACAAAAACCAACTTACAGGGCAGGAACTACATACTAATTGGCTTTACTTTGCTTGAGTTACTATTTATTCTAAACTGGCACCAGCAGTGATGTGCAGAGGGAAGGAATCTGCTGTCCACAAAGTCTCCTGTGTGTCCACATTCACACAAGCACAAGGAATAAGGATTTAAAATCTCTTATTCTGATAACCAGCTGTCCTGCCCAAGCTTCACTTCCTTCAGAAATAATTTCACAGACATCAGATCTCAAGCATTCTTGAATAATTTACGGCCTGGAGGGTAACAAATCTTTTTCATGAATATCTGTAACCTCCTACTAATAAATAATTAACTGCCTGGTCATTAACAATACTAAGAATAAAAAGCATTAAATTTCACAACATGGAGAATTTTTTTTAACTTTTCCACTGAGTCTCCTTATATATTCCAGGAATGCTAAGGTTTGATGTATCAAGTGTTCCAATACTAAGAAATTCCAACTAATAACATGACCAATAAAATTTATTAAGTATTATATTTACAACTATTTACATATCCCTTCCATAGATTAATATTAAAATAGACAATATACAATTTAAGAATTTTAATTCAAAGGCATTTTGTTGGAAAAAATAGGCTCTATTACGAGACCACCATATAAGAGCAAAAGGGTTTTTTTGTTTTACACAAAAATATTTTCAGTATAGGAAGTCATAGGTATGGCATTACAACAGCAGACTAATATGAAGTATGATTTTGTAAATATTACAACAGTTTAGGTATCAATTATTGAAGGGAAGGAGTTCAGAGTCCTGTGGAGCATGCAATACAGTTCAATCCTCTTACAGTTATGGTGATGAAACAAGCAGCTAAATCAAACGCATGCCATACAAAAGGGAACTGCCAACCAGGAACACACTACACTTAATAAAAACGACAACTTTGGTCCAATAAAACATTAGACAAAAACAGTTTTACAGTTAAAATATCTATTTTATACAGGTTTGAACATTAATTACAAGACTATTTACATTTGCACAATATGTATAAAATAAATTATTTAAAAATGAAGACAATATTACATCTTTTTCCAAAAAGAATTTGTACAGTAATTTACAAAACATAATAAGATTGATTCTTTTCCTCCAAGTCTTACACTTTCTTCCACAGGCTTTCTCATCATTTTTCTGTGGGAGTTCAACTGTTACTGAAGTTTCATAATACAAAGCTTTATAGCAGATTTTAAGTATCGTTTGCTTTTTGGTGGATGTTTTAGTTATTAACAGCTTCCAGCGCTGTAAACTCACCAGGTTTTGTCATCTTTTTCAGCAATAAGCCCCAAAGCTACAGGCAATTTTAAAACACAGATAACAGCAGTTACTGGGAATCTGAATTTAAAATCAGCATCCATCTTCTGTGTTTGAACAAGTGTCTGTGCCACACTTCTCTGTAGGAACACCCGAATTATGGAGAAAGGTAGCATTCCACAGAATTAAGTGCTCTGTCTCAAAATAAAAAATACCTCTGTGCATCACTGCACCTCAGTCTCCAGCTGTCCATGGTGAGGGACGAGCCAGACGGTGCCGGCTGTCATATGGGTGTCAGTTCAAAGTCATCATTAACATCAACAAGAGGAACATAGAACTCCTGAATTTCATAAATGCTGATAGATTTGTAGGTAGCAGGATCAAGCTCTTGCAGTTTAAGCTGCCACTCCAGTCTCTGCACCGCGTTCAGCGCCGCTGCTTCATGCTGCTGCCTCATCAAAAGGCACGTCTGGTTTGAAATTGAGAAAGAAGTTATTGAAGTATTTGAAAAGATATTATTGCAGCAAGTTTGAACACAGGAAATATCTCTAAGAGCTTCTCTGGTGATAGTAAATAATTCCCCCAGTATATATTTAGAAATTTGCAGAATATTCCATTACACTACATGGCAACAAAAGTTAGGTTTTTTCTATACTGATAGACCTTCCTTTGTGTTGCCTCCACAGAAGCCCATGATACTGCACACAAATCTACTCTTTATTCATCTTATCTTCATGTTGACATTAATTTTGGCTTGGTTTTTTTTTAAGTGGAAAAACTAAGAAGTGTACCTTTAATTTGTCAAATTTATCATCAACGTCCTGCAGCCATGACATGAACTGCCTTGCATTAAACCGATCCCTCACCGATGTTTTGCTGTCATCAGTCTGCAAAAAACAAAGATTTATTAAAACCTGATGATTCAATCTGAAACATTAAAACACAAAACCTACTCTGTGGGACATAAACAGTAAACAATCCCACAAACACTGCTTCCCATGGAAAAACAGCTTCAAAGTACAAAGGTATATGAAAACATAAATGTTGACCAACACTTCCCTCTGTGAGCCAGCTGCTCACTAAAAATGGGTATTTTCAGATTTCCTCAAGCTATTTACTGTGCTCTGGTTTTGAAATTTAGAATGGGAAGCTTAAGGATTTACACCTTAAAGTCTCAACTAATAAAAGATCCTTCCACAAAATTACTGTCTCTTTTTTCTCTATAAAACACAGTATCAAATCAATATCCCTCATGGAAAAGCAAAAACATTAATAAAGGAAAAATTAAGCAGCCTTATTTAACTGACTACACAAGTACTGAAAGCAATTAAAAATATTTCCGCCATCACAATCCCCAAAAGGAGATTAAAAAATTGAGCAGACCTGTATTACGTCCTGCTTAATGAAATAATTTTATTTTTAATTCCAACTTTTTCCAAAGGATTTGGAATGTTACATCTGTCCACTGTGAAAAATTAGATATACTCCATGCACAGTCCTAAAGCCAGACTATGCCAATCTAACATTTAAGTGATAACCACTAAATACAAGAAGCTGCTGCTTCTCTTTCAGAGAGAAAAGAAGACACTGCAGAAATTTGTACACTGTAGCAGAAGGAACAAAACGAAGCCCAACCAAATGTGCAAAGATTGACCTTTCTAGAGAACAAAATAAGTTATTTGCTAATGAGGTAACAGGAAAATTGCAGGATGCACTACAGGACAATGTCTTCTTATGCATCTACATTCTTCCCATTAAACAAATTTGAACCAAACCATCAAGCTGGTAGTATAAAACATTGATTTCAATTATATAAAAATGTATTTCATAATTTGCTGAATATTATATGCAATGTAGTTTCCTAAGAAAAATTACCACAGACTAAAACACAAAGTTGTTGAAGCAGTGAGGGGGAAGGAGAGGCATTTTATTGCTCTTCTTATTATATAGATGGTAAAAAAAATGGCAGTACTTGGGGGGGCACATCTCAACTTCTCCCCCATCAAGGATTCCTTTTGTTTCATAAATTCAAATACGGAATCAGCTTACTAAAACAAATTGTAAAATGTTAACTACAAAAATGCACTTATGTGCACAACTCACATACTCCTCATCTCTAAAAAGCTCAAGGCCTCTGAATTGGAACAGAAATAAAGCAAAGGATT